ACAATTAATAGATATTACTTTGTATGTATCATATTACTTTAGTCATTCCTAAAAGTATTGTTTTTGTGCAGCAAATTCTAAAATTAAATACGTTGTAAAACATCTTTGATACATTTATTCAATTTATTAAGAAATATCTTTCACCTAATTTGTTTCCTTAGGTGTCGATTTTGCCTGCTTCTGCAATAGAAAAGCACAGAAATGGAGAATAATAATAATACCAATAAGCCGCTTTAATTGCTAGTCTAAATGGCAGTTCCCTCTTACGTTTGCGGACACAAATTACCCTATCGATGTTACAATTAATAAGCATCGTTCCTTTAAACTTTACTCAGTGGAAGTGAGGTGAAGCAAGTTTTAATAAGGGTCTCTATGGGTCATTACGGGCTCGTAACGGTAATTGTCGGAGGCGGTACGGCCCAGCACTTAACGACACTTCTGCTTGACGTGGGCACTTCTTCGCACTGCTGTGTGTATTTAAATAACTTCCTAAAATAAATTATATACGCTTAAAAGTTTCGTCTACTTAATTTTATTCGTGATATACCTTTTTAATACACCAATATAAAAATTCCGTGCCACGATGTTCATTCATGCAAATCTCCGAAACGGCCAAACCCTTTTTAATGAATTTTTTTAAATGTGTATAATTTGCATGAACTTGAATCATAGGATTGATAAATCTTTCATCAATAAAAGATGCCGTGAGTCGTATTCACACACCGAGAGTTCCGTGCATAAATATGAGATAAAATTACATTTGATTTTGTTTCTAATACGAAATGGACACCTAATAGTTATTTTTCTTATTACTGATACTACAATACATTTATTTATTTAAGGACAACCAACAAAGCATACATTTATATCTACTTAAAATACATTATAATAAGGTTAGATTATAAAATGCTGCCTCAATTAAAGGCCGCCACGACACGCGCATTCATATATATATATATATATATATATATATATATAACTATTAGGATGTAAAATGATAAAAACTACAATACTAGTTATACAATAAATAGTTAGACTACAGTAATACTTTGAATTTAAAAGATTTGTACACTTATAATCTATACATACTCGTATGTGCAATGATACATGCCATGCTGTTATTAAGCTGATTAAATTAAACTATAGAATTTATACAAAGTGGATTACTTTACATAATTTAATATTTCAGTTATAAATCTTAAAATTGAATATTTGAGAATTATAACAAAAATACACTAGTGGAAAAAATTAAGAGATAAAAAAAAACCTAAATTTTTAAAAATTTTTCAAATGGCTGTATCTTTAAAAACTGTCGTATTGAAGTAAAAAAAATTAATTTTTAATTTGAACTTTCTAATTTTTTGTTCTTGCAAAAAAAATCCATGTAACGCGCACACCTGCAATGCCGTGCAATGGTGTTGTAGGTGATCATGGGCGGTGGTAGTCACTTACCATCTAGTGAGCCGCATGCTCGTTTGCCCCCTGTGTTGTAAAAAAAAACAAAATCATAATGAATATGATGAAAAAAATCGATTTTTTTTTAATCTTATTTTTGGTGTCAGATTTGAATAATTTTTTTTTAATGCCGGCTGTTTTACGAAATTTCTGAAAATCGATTTACTTATCGGTTGTTTTACTACTCGTACAATACGACCATTTTTATCAAAGAAAGAAATTGTTAAAATTTTTGACTTTTTTGATCCCTTAATTTTTGTCACTAATGTATATGAAATGTGTTGAATATCGTATCACCATCTGTCTATCCTATCATCAGAAGACTGTCATCATTGTATTCTCTTTTATTTGATATTTATATGTATATCAACTAGTATATAAATATAATAATTTGTAATTTATGCATATATTTATTTTAATTTCTGTTTTGCACTCACTACTTCCTATGCCATTGTGTTAGGTTGACTGGAAGAGATCTCTTTTAAAGATAAGTTCGCCTTTGCTAACATTATTATTAACTTATTGTTGTTACGGTATGTTTTAGTGCAATAAAGAATATATAAGTATATTTTGGGCCTAATTTAAATGGATTAAAGAGACTAAACTGGTTTTTGAAAAAAAAACACTAATTGTTTAAGTTAAAATTCTTTATTACATTTAGTTTTATCTATAAAATTCGAAAATATAAAATGACAAATTTAGCTCAAACTTTTAACTTAAAGGTCAGGTTATATTTATTGTTAGAAAAATTATTGTACAATAATTTCATATTTATAAAAAATCCTCCTATAAAAAATTTAATAGAATGGAATTAAATAAACATAAATTTTATTCAAATAGAATTGTCTACAAGTTCTTTTAAATCGCCAATTTTATATGATTATACAACTGGGTTCGGGGTGTTGTTATCTTTTTTTTTTATGCAACTTAGAATGGTAAACAAGCTGACGGCCCACCTGATGGAAAGTGGTAACCGTCGCCTATAGACATAAGCAGTACCATGGACATAACAGAGTATACTGTTTCGCCCATGATACCCCCCATGCGTTACCATTACTGAGGACTCAGGTGTTATTCCTCTGTACCCAGTAAATTCACGCCATATCCCACCCTTCAAACCGAAACACAGTCATGCAAACACAGCTGCTTCACGGTTGAAACATGAATGGGACAGAGCTAACCAAGCAATCGACTTTTGTACAAAGTCTCCCTCTGGAAAAGAAAGAAACTTTATCTGCTAAAAAGAATCCACAAGGAACTCAACAGTTAAACTTTTCAAATTGTTACTTTTGTACATAATTGGTATGAGATAATTTTACATCAGCATGAGTATTGTGACTATAATTAGAATTAAATTCTCTTCATACATGTTACTAAATGTAAAATTAAGAAGCGAACATGAACAGACCAAACCCCACAAGCAGAACCCGTTCACGATTATGACGGATGAGTCAGCCATCGTTGCACTCAAATATATATACAAACAAACTCATAATAAATATAAATAATAATAAATAAACATAAAAAATAATAACTTAATTCGACCATATTTTTCTTAAAGGTATTTTTTTTATATTGTAGGTTACGCTATCTTTCTATACTTTGTTAATTCTAAACAGATTTAGATAATTATTTTATAGTGTTGGAAAGAGGTACTACCATCAACAGCAGTAGTAGTAGTAAAGACTTACGATTTTAATGCTAATTTGATCAAGATTGCAGTAATTTTTTTTAAACAAAAAAATATGGTAATAAATACTGTGTAGTGAGAGGTAATTGACACACAACGCCATCTATTGAGAATTTGCTTTTTCGTTTTATAAAAAAATACGTATCGTATTACAAAGTAGGTATTATATATACTACTATAGAATGCTATAAATACACTAATCATATTAGTTTACGTGACAAGCCTGAGCTACTATAAAATTAAACCCGCGTATTTCACACGTCACGTGAATACAAAGTATAAACATTATTTTATTTCATTTGTAGTAAAATAAAACTCTTTGGGCATATAAATTGGTAGAAGCACGTAAAAGATACGAATGGGCAATGAAGCTTCATTTTATAGATGTCATAGAATTTCTGTGATCGTAGACATGTTTTATCGTATCCAGTGCTTATTATCAAATAATGCAATACAATAAAACAGATCAACGAATACAACAATCGAAGTCGTAGATCGAATCCAATAAACTAAACATGTCGCATTTTGTCATATTTTGTTTTTTAATAGGATAATGGAATATCAATCCCGACAATGCTTTCAATATACGCTGTTTTTTTATGGGATGAAAATGGAATGGTACACCCACTTGTGTTAGCTAACGATATACAGATCCCTCCGCCCCGCCCTGCCCCGGCCTTCATATACGCGGAATATATATACGGAACGCCTATGAAGCAGGACAACTAACTATTACTAATAATTCCTCCTTCTTAATTTATACCGCTAGTAAACCAGTAGTGCAGATCTTGTAATAAATTCATCCTTACTTTACTATAATCTGCGTCTCTAACTGCATAAATTACGATAGAAAATATACTATATATTAATCTATCATTGTACCGTAGTTCACTCAAACTTATTTAAGTATGACTGACTAACAAACATCCATACATATTTACAAATTTTCATACATTTGTAAAGCTATAAATATTAGTAAAATGGAAAAATAAAGTCAACCATTTTTTAATTATGTTAAAATTAATTTAATATAGTTTAAAATACAAATATAAAGTGTCAAGGAATATTTGTGATGGAATTATTATGTACATTATACATACATACAATTTACATAAGTACATATGAAACTACATTGTACAGATAAATAAAGTATACAAATAACGATTCCTCACTCTAATTAGGTATTGTTTTCTAGTATAAAGAACATATGAGTAGCTATGGATAATACAAAAACCGGAATTAATCTGCATTATTAAAATATACACTTATCGCATTTAATCTCTAACACAATTTTACTTAAAGAAATTAGGTACCTGCCTTCACAGATCACAATCATATTGGCAACGAGGGTCAGAGTTCAATACTAGTTTGACCAATATATGAAACGTACTTTGCTAAATTGGCTCGAATCTCGGTGTTTGGATTGTTTCCCCCAAATGTTTGTTGTCTCAGTAGATAGCTACTACTTTCATTAATTCTTTCTGTCAAGATTTATAAGCCAGTTCCAGTTTTCCCCGCGAGACCTATGTGAACATCTAAACTCATTGTACAATTTGAATATCACCGTAGATATACACGTCTTAAAATAGTTGACAAACTTACTTGAACTTTTACCCTAATATAATTGGATAACGCTGGAAGTTCCACTCATACCTACTAATATTATTATTATTACCAATGCAAAAGTTTGTAGATAAATAAAGGAATGTTTATTCTCTTTCACACAATAACTACTCAACAGATTAGAATGAAATGTAATACAAAGATGAGTTATTCCCTATATATATCTACACCTAGTACGAGTATTATAATTGTAAAATTGAATTAATTTATATATTAGTTTGTTTGTTACCTGTTGTAACCACAACGGCACAACCAACAGTCGTGATATTTGATATATCTTTATACATAGTACAATAATAGTATAATAGAGTAGTAATAGAGGTGAAGTTTGTGAGATTGTACTAGTATTCCGCTTTTTAAAATTCTCTCACTGTTAGAAAGGTATATTATCCCTGAGTGCTATGGACTACTTTTTATTTTGGTAAGTATCTATTTTCAATAATAAATGTAATTAATATCGGCAAATATTCTATAATATGGCCATGCACTGCATAAATGGTTTGAAATAAAGAAATAAAATCTGTAGCAAAAATATTCATTACTCTTAGCTTTACAAAAAAGTCCGCGACACCATATATGTTTAGTATATCGGCCAAAAAGATAGATTTTAAATTAAAAGTAAAATAGATTTTACAAGATTAAGTTTGGATACAGATCTCTACAAATTTTTATAAAAACAGCTAAATCAAAATGAAAATATCATGGAAGCATGTTACTTGATATCGTCGATCAGAATGGTCAGAATCTGTCCACTGCTAAACATAGACCTCCCCCATAGACTGCCATAAGAAATGGTCCTGAACCACCTGCATCTACTGACTCCATGCAATAATGCATTTGGGGTCGTCACGTCGTTGTCAGGTTCATCTTATTGCCCCGTACGGGCAAACCCCTCTCTATCGGATGTCGATTCTTCGAGCTATGTGACCAGCCTATTGCCACTTCATGCGTGGGGAGACGAGAGAAATCGCTAGTACTTAATAAATTAAAAGAACAAAATATAAATTTATTTAGGAATTATATATAATTAAAACAAATGTTTCTTAAAATTACCATGATCGATTCTCTCTTATTTTAATTTACCAACTATCCACAAATGTTTTAATAACTAACGATGATGTAACTTAAAATGTAAAAACTTAAAAGTATTCTTTAAAATATACATGATTTATTATCTACAAAGTTAATCTCATATGTGATTTTTACATCAAAACACAGAAATACATAACGAAGTAATTTTCTGAAATTAGCCATATTACACGACTATAATTATGCTATACCGCATTCATAGGCGCTGAAATGGATAATTATTACAAATGTTTTCTTCGTCGAGTTGGCAGCCAATGGCGGCAAAACGCGTCCGTCATCAGCACATGTCGCCGTTCTCGCTGACTACAACACCGCTGTACCGCCATCAAATTGATGGCTTCTTTATTGGGTGGGCTCGACACCAATTAAACGCGTTAAGTGACATTATCGATATATCGAACATTAGTTCTGTCGTGTTATCTACTGGCATACTTTATGATATAAAAATATGGTAATTACTTGATTCATGTTACCTATCTTTAATGATATCATACGCAATATACCTCCATAAACTTTTATTATGTTGTGACAATGTTTCTGTAATATATGTATTTGTTGTAAGCAATTATTGATGAACTAAAATAAATTTTAAAGACAAAATTTCTTTTTTATATATAAACCCTAAAAATAGTTTTAGTTTTGATTTAATTTGGTTATAAAATCATCGAAACTTCTAGCAGTAAGTCTTTTAAATATTTTAAATGCTTGTTATATGCCTTATAACTAAGTAAATATTCTAAAAAGAACAATATAATAAAAAATACTGGAATATTTTTTAAACATAATCTTCTTGTAAATAAACGAATCTAATCTAATGTTTGTAGAGAAAGGGATTATTAGTAATGGGGAGGTTGTCCCCCATTGCTATCAATATACCTTTTCGGGTTGACCTCCACGCGGTTCCTCCTGGAAACCATCATGACTAATTTATCGTTGACTTCGTCACGATGAGCTAATTGCCTGCCTTTTCATCCTCACTAATCATCCTCACTAGTGCCCCACCGGTGTATACCGATGACGCGGGCGGGATTGCCATTCCATTATCATCCATTAAAATAAAGCACTTGCGGAAATAACAGCTATGGTAAGGGTAAGGTTGATTATGTAATTCCTCAATTTATAAACAAACTGCCCACCGATGTACAGGATAATATTACTACTAATAACATCAAGCATAAATTAAAACTTTCTTGCCTAATTTTGAAATAAAATCTCAATGTATTTCGCATTAATATACATACTACATGGATTCCTAATGCTAATAGAACATATCTTTTCTAAAAATTTTAGATATTGTAATAATAAATTAAAAAAAAAAACTTACATAAAATTATTATTCTTAATCCTATTAGTATGATAAATGTGAAAAGGTGTTCATTACCTTTAGTGCTTCAAGGACTCAACTCATTATGAAATAATTGACATAACGTTATAATTGGCATGAAGAAGATCTTTATTTTACTGCCTTGGTTGTGAAGTAGTTTAACACTCTGTCTCACCTTACGATGATTACTGGTTCAGCTCCTCCTATAATAGATACGAACATATTTTGTGACCGCGATAAAGAATATATTAAAAAAAAATAAGTTTTATCTGTAATATGCGTTTATTTACAAAAAGTAGGTATTTAAGTATACCTATCTATTGTGATATAAGTAGTCATAATACGAGCTTCTGTTTAGTTTAAAACTACATGGAGTACATGTAGTAAAAAAATAGGACATCGTATCACACTACTGTGCGATGTGTCCTATTTATTTATTTGTTATAACTAAATTACATGGTATTTTAGGAATTATACAATAATTTAAATACACCAAAATATTACATAATAACTCAATGTAAAAACGGTACGAGAACCCTTTTTAGTATTCTGTTACTAAATAAAAAATGAAAGAGTTTCCGCCCTTATTATTTCGTCACATCCTTCCATTTCTCCATCCGTTCATATAATACAGTCATATATCTACGCCATCTTTCTACCCCGCCAGACCTGTCTATGTGAATCGCCACATATTTATGTAGTGAAATAACGAAAATAAATAGTTTACGGACAGTTATTCCCCTTGTGTAAGACTGAGGAATATTTTACACTCCGTTGTGATAAAAACATACTTATTATTACTGTATATTATATAATTTAAGAGTATTTATACAGAAGTTTTTTAACATAAACAGTGTTTTTTAATTTAAATTCTGAATAATTTATAGCTCTTATACTAAAAATATAGTACAAAACAAAATTCACATAAATATTTCACCACTATTTTGCTTTGGAAGTTTTAATTAATACTGAAGTTGCATATTCTGTATAGGTATATGAAGCCCCCCCGAAAGAACAGGTAACTATATTCTAATTAATAAATTAGAGTTTAACCAACCTGCTTACATTCGCTACAGACTCTTATTACTTAGTTGAATTTTGAGATAACATCTGAAAACCTCGTTTCATTGAGATTATGTTAACAATAAGAACATAATTTATGATTGATGAATTATTATTATTATTTCTCATAGATATTATTATGCCTGTTACCAAAAACAACTTTTTCAGATTTTATCTTATCAAGTGTGAGAACATTAAGTGTGATCACTAAGTTTAATATAATCTTGATATTATAATTTATTATTAAATTATAATAGCAATCTAGTAAATTGTAAATGCGACGTTTCACTTTAATATTATTATAATGCTGATTGTCATCAAAGCTAAATTTTATGATCCTTGAAATAAGTGTTGAGTCCAAATTTCATAGGATCTCTCCTAAAATACATATATTAGACCCGTATCGATACGTGCTTGAGCGGTATTTTTTGCTTTTTATATGTAGGTAAATATGTACAAAACGTACATATTTATCTATAGGGTTGCACAGGTCGGTATTTAGCGCTGCGATGGGAGCCCGTCCACCGGCGTCCAGTATTGTTCAATGATTAATTGCCAGGAAAATTGAATCGCCGTGATAAATGAAATACCAACACAATGTGTAACAAATCGCCGCGCCTAGAGGCCGGCCTTCGATCAACAACCCTTGTGGTTGCACACAAAAGCTCAAACGGTCTGCCTAAGGTTGGATATGTATGCGACGAGTTTTTCTAAACACATATATACAGAATGTAATAATTATATAGCTTTAATTAAACTAAAATATTGTTAAAGTAAGAATTATTTATACACGTTCCATTTTCTTTATTAAAATGTACTTACTATTGTAATTGTATATTAAATATAGACGCGACTCGTTTCGAAACTTCATTTTCAGGTGTACTTTTAAAAATTTTTTAATAAAATACAATTGTAAGTAATAATTCTATAAATTTTAAATACACAGCGCAACACGCTAAACAAAAAATATGACAAACTGATAATAAACAATTTTTAATAAAAACACTGGAACAAAGTACAAGTATTTTCAATAATATAAAATAATCGACATAATGAAGTTCCATCAAGATGTTATGACACTGAATTATCATTAATTTTTTCTTCTTTTTATCCATGTCCAATATACATACATATATATATATATATATATATATATATATATAGATTTAGCAGAACAAAAGTAGATTATGTTCTTCCCAATCTGGTATATTACCTATGTACCAATTTTTATAACAATTGATTGAACCGTTTATGTCGCCAGGAGGTAACTAAGATATAAATAAACTCATTTTCATATGTTACATGATTCACATATTATTTTTATTATAAAACGTTATTTATTTCCTTTGTACAAAAGCTTGTGTAGCTCTGTACTTTTCGTGTTTTCGCCGTGAATCAGTTTTGTTTGTATGGTTGTGTCTCGGTTTGGAAAGTAGAATATAGCAGTGAAATTACAGTAGGTACAGTACAGTACAGACATAACACTTTAATTCTCAGGAATGGCAACGCGTGAAAGGTAGCATGGGCGACACAGTATACTCTACTCGTATTATGTCCATGGTACTGTTCATGTCTATAGGGAATGACTACTACTTTTAATCTTGTTTGCCATTCCAAGTTACATACAAAAAATGTAGATACTCATATTATGTATTCCACTTATCATTCAGTTAAATATTTTGTCATCTTCTTTATAATATGTATTTTCAAATGACTTTAAAAAAAAAGAATATTTTCACATCGATTGTATTACTTCATATTTGTCATAACTCCGTCAGTTGTAAACTGGTTTGGAAAGTCATTTTATTATCCGAAAAAAAACTTACAGATTAGACCTATAACAAAATTGGTTTAGTAGGTTAGTTTTTAAATCAAAACAACTGGTGTTGCCATTATTAAAATAGGTTTTTTTTTGTGGAACAAAATTTAATTATTTTACAACAACAACATTACAACGATTTTCTAAAATTATTTCATGAAATAATTTTATTATAAATAGTTTTAAAATTATCCTTTAAATTTAAATGAAATGTTTAAATTTATAACACAAAATTTAGGATAAATAAAAATAAAGGACTTATTATGGAAATTCGTTTAATATTAAAACATTTCAATTATTTTTGCGTTAGTTAAAGTTATTGCTGAAAAACTAGAAACTATTCATAATTAATACTATAACGAGATATCAGACAAATAAAACAATGAACTGTGTAATCTGACCGGGCAAAATGTAAAGGAGAAAATAAATTAATTTCGTAACTCCGAGCAGCTACATTACAATCTTATCGAACGAGGTTGGGTGTGCGCTTATTGTTTCATTTTATTTTCAGCCCTAAAAGTTTTTGTTGGCGAATTATTGTAAAGAGGGTCGTTGTTCAGAAAGAGAGTCGTATTTTAATAATGAATGGGCCGTGCATTAAAGCAGTGACATTTAAGTTAGTAGGCCGGCCGGGAGACCAAGTGCTCCCGGAGTACTACGTTCTCGAGCACCCGCCGCGCCGCCTTGATTATAACATAATTGAGTGTATCCGCTGATATAAGGCAAACCCATTACAGTACCTTTTTGGGGTGGAATATAATATTCCACATATTTAATAAATTCATGCCCACTTCCTACAGACTATTAATTTTTTTACAACTACACTATTTTTTTAACACTAGAGAAATTGCTAGTATGGCGCCGACCGTTTCAAAAATATATGCCCTATTTAAATATTGGGCCGGTTTTTGAGCTGCCTAAAAAAATTCAATGTAGTAAAATAAATGGCTTACCCATCATACCCGTGAATGGATAGTAAAAGTACACACAGATTTCGTGTATTTTTACTATTTAAGTTTGTAAATGAATTTTATTTTTTATCTTACTGTTCAATAATTTATAATCACACATCAACGTTGAAAAGGTAAAGTGCATAAAACGTTTTTTAGTGAACTTTACAAAAGAATGAATAATATTGTACCTACTGCAAAAATTTTCGAGTAAACTTCACAACTTTCTAATTTATTTGAATAATTTTAATGAAATTAAATATTATTTCCAGATGTTTTCGTTATGATTATATAATTTTGTCGCTCTTTTGGCATTTTATACAAAATAAAATAGAGAATACTTTTTCACTATATACTAGCTTTTTGTTCGCTATTTTGTGCGCGTGGATTTCAGAAATAAAAGAAAACCCGATGAAATATACCACTTCTCGATGATATAGGAATA